CTGGACCACATGACCAGAAAGGCCTCTTTCAGCAACCACCAAACTGCTACTCAGTCAGGTGGAAACCTAGATGCCACTGGATCTTGGTGTGTCCAGGAGCCGGGGTCCCTGTGTGTCACTTGTGTGCCTGCCTCTGTGGAAAACATGGGAACCTGCTCACTCCCTCTGGATGAACAAGTAAGCTTGTGTTTATTGCGTTGTTGCATAATCTGCCCCTGCGTGCAGCTTTAGCTTATTTAATCCTCCTGACTTGCCTTGACAATTGATAATCTCCCTATCCTATAAACGACAAAACCAAGGTGCAGGGCAACTATCTGAGGTCAAAGTCACTCACATAGCAGGCAGCAGATCCAAGATCCCAGCACACTGGGATGTATTTACCCCTTTCCACTATCCAGGGCTACCTTAACCCAGGCCTGTCCCCACCAGAATGGTTGTAGGTTAAGGGAGATCCACAGGCCCTCAAATCAGTTCATCTGGCTCAACGCCCTGCTGAAAAGTTGCCTTTCTCCACCCCTAATATACTGAATCAGAACCTACAATTCTTCCATTTGCTGAACAACCATGCCTGTCCCAACTCTATTTCCCAAGGCCAAGTTTGTCCCAGTTAGTGGTGGAGCAGAGGCCTTGATTCGGCAATGAATTCGGCAGCAAGCTGTGGCTTTCCCTAACCTTAGTCTCCCTCTCCTAGCCCTCAGCTTTCAAAAGGTTGCTAGGAGGACTAAAAAAAAAATCCTCTTAAAGTTCTCAGACCACCTGGATCAAGTTCATAATCCATTACAATGCCCTATTGGGCTTGCAGTCAAGTCATGGTGGCCCCCGTGGGTTACAGAGCGGAACTGTGCTTCACGGGGCTTTCCATGGATGTGATTTTGGGGGAAGCAGATCACTAGCTGTCTCCTGAAGTGCCTCGAGGTAGATTCAAACCATCAGCCTTTCAGTTAGTAGCCAAGTTGCTTGTGTGTGCCACACAGGGACTTGCAGCTAAAGAGGAGGGCTACAGAGAAAGACAAGTCTGTCTGTCTGCTCCTGTAAAGATTCTCTGTCGAGGAGTCAGAACTGACTCAGTGGCAGTGCGTTTGGTTTGGGTTCTAGGTGGTGATGAGCAGTGTCCAAGTTCAATGCCAGCAGGAGCTATGAGCCTGGGGTCCACGAGCCCCCTGAAATTCGTGTGACAGCTTTGTTTACCCTTTACTCTGCTAAAAGTCCCCCATGCCTTTTGTCAGATGTTCACAAGGATCTTCCATCAGAAGGAAGGTTAAGATCTTTAAGACGGTTGTTGATCCAACTTCTGGCAATATGAATGGTTTCTGAAATAATATGGTGAGCTAAAGCTTCTTAAATCATGTGAGAGACAAGTTGCTGGAACCTCCACTCCACGCAGGCCTCTGGTATTTGCACTGGGACTGAGAAACTGAGCCCCGAGGTCCCAGGTGGTTCTTGGAAGGCCTAAACGCAAACCACAGAGTGAGCAGGAATCAGGCTTCAAGAACCCTTCTCTGGCAGAGCCAGTCCCCGTGATCCATTCTCCCTCAGAGAACAATCAGATTATTTGTTTTTACACACCGCTAGGCTAACCACACACAGAATGCTGGCCTTTTGCTGGGTGTTCCCAGCACCATTGGGAGGTAATCTGCAGAAGGAGCACTGCTCCGAGGGGCTGTGCAGCCCTGCTCCCTGGCACCTGTTTCCTAACGACCGGTCATTTTCCCAGCCTGGCCTCCCAGTCGGAGCCTGTGGTGTTACTGGAGCCTTTGGCCCAGTGGGCATGGCCCAAGCTGCCCACTGGACTCTCTGGTTGTTGGGACAACCGTCCCTAGGAATTCTGGCCTCCCAGTGTCCCCTTGGTGAGAATAGGAGAGAGCTGGCAAGGCAGGCTGCCTGGCAGCTCTTCCAACCTCCTAGTGAAAAGGAAGCTGAAAACTGGATTCCCTACCCCCAGCAGCCTTCTCGCCGGACAGCACAAAAAACCAGCTCAGCCCAGAGGGAGGAACGTGCTAAGACATTCTTCAGGCTTGGTGACCGGAGACACTATTTTGTGCTCAGTGTTGAGAAATCACTTGTCGGGCTGAATAAGCATTTGACTGTCTTCTTTTAAATTCAGGGGAATGGGTGGGCATCTTCTCAGTTCAGATCAAGGGAAAGCGGAGACAAACCCCAGGGCACCCACACAATGGCGCAAATGCGTGCGCACACACCGGCGTGGAATGGGTTCCAAGTTATTCTCTGTTTCCTGGCATTAATCAGATCTAGGCAAAATGTAATGCCTCCCCTCCTCCCACCCCTGCCCCCTACAAGTCTGGCTGTTAAATAATTTCTTCTTTCTCCACCTCACAGCCCCATTCTCTCTCTCTCTCTCTCTCTCTCTCTCACTCACACACACACACACACACACACACACACACACACACACACCCCACAGCCCCACCAACACCCCATCGTGCCACGGAGAGGATGGGGGAAGGAGAGGCAGAGGACCCTAGATCACATTTGAGAAGTGGTCAGCTCAGCCTTCGGGGAGGGCAAGTGAATTGCCTGGGGCCACACTGCCAGCTGTCCACCCTGTTTACCACACTGTGCAAGATGGACATTCCAAAGGGCCACCATGGCTGCCCTCTGAGCAGTCCATAGCTGCTCCACCACAACAGTGACCTCCCAGGTGGACCTCGGACCCACTCAGCACCCCAGACTCAGGGTTCCCACATAAGGCCAGAGTGGTTGGGGTGCCCAGGAGTAGGCAAAGACACCATCTGACAGTCAGCACCCCACCAAACCAACTCGGAGTTGCAAAACGAGGAAGGTGAACAAAGGGCTAAGCCGGGTGCCAGTGCGTCTTTAACTCCTCTCCAAGGTTTGCCAGTCTGCCAAAAACACAAAGGCTGAAACAAAGGCTGGGCAAGCCTGCTGCAGGGACTGGGCAGGCAACAGTATCTAGATAAGATAGAATGGTGCTGGTTTGTTTTATGTGCGCTGTACTTTTAAAGGTGACCTTCTCCAACGGCAATCGACACTCTGCTTCTCATGTGTGAAAGCAGTTCAAAATGCCACCCAGCCTATCAACAACAGTGTCAGTGGTATGTGGCCGTACCAAACGTGAAATGGCCATGGAGGTGAGCCACACTGCGCAGGTTCAGGGGAACGGCACGCTCGTCCAGTCAGCTGCCCACAGAAGTGCATGCTTGCCCTCTTCCAAGGGACAGGAGTGACTGGTTGAAGAAGCTTCCAGACCTTCGGTTTTCTCTCCCAGAGACTCATGACCGGAGCACATGAGCAGTGCTGGGTGTGGGGCCATCCTACCCTTCCTCCCTTGGATTCCTCACTGTGAACTCACCCAGTGACCCAAGTGGAGGGGGGCAGGGGCCAGGTACATTTGAACCTCCCCCACCAAGGAGAGGTCATGAAAAATTGGGCCAGGGGAAGGATGGCCAAGTCACCTAGGCAGTCAATAGCCACCCCCACCCCACCCCCAGCCACTGATCCCCAGGGGAAGGCAGTGTGTGAGCAATGCTGGGGGATGGCATGGCGGGGGAAGAACTTGGTGTTTGCAGAGTGCTGGAAAGAGCAAGGCACTAGAGCCAATCACACTCCTAGGCCTCAAATTGACTCTTACTTTTGAAATGGGGAGTTGGTCTCTTTACTCTCCAGTGATTTCCCCACTACTGCTCCTTCGCCTCCAAGGTACCCCTTAATGTGACAAATAGGAAAACTTGAGAGCCAGAGGTGAAAGCAACTTTTCCTCGCATGCAAACGTCCTATCTGGTACGCCAGTGAGCCACCCGGTGTTCTATGGCGCACTGGGCACGAGCCCAGTGAATGAATGAACCTAGGTGCTCACAGAAACGACTATCTCAACTGACATCTTCTTGATGCTTTTGCCTCTATTTTTACTATTTTGCTCTTCAACCCCATGCTTCCCACAAACTCTATCCTGGGCCTCTGGGGTTCCCATTCAACCCACAAGCAGAGTCCAATCAACTCACGCGGGCTATCTTACAGGCACCTGACCCCCAAGTCACACTGACCAGGGAAAATGACACATTCCTGGAGACTCTTCAAATTCCCCACAGACCCCATCAGTGAAGGACCACAAAGTGACCCGTGTGAGTGTTCCCCTGAGACCTACCTGGCATATGTATAGTCAAGTGCCCAGGCAGTAAAAACAGTCAAAGCAGGGAGAAAAAGTCTGAAGAGCCAATGCAGACTCCAACTGTCTCAGCAAAAAACTCCCACGAACCACGCTACAGCCGGCCTGGTGCCCACCAAGGTCAGGCGGAGTTGGTGCAAGAGTGAGAGCCAAGGTCCCCAGAACGAAATGGCAGAAAGGTGATGGACTGTCCTTTGCCAGAGGCCGCTCACCTCCGCCAACGTCTTACTAGCTTCCAAGTAGCAGTGAGATTCCTGGAGAATCAGTCTCCCTGCTCTGCGCTCCCCGGCTCTTTCCTCCCTTCCCTTCCCACCCTCGGTCTCCCTCCAGGCCCCCTGGCAGCTCACTTGTCTTCTCAGGAGCACCTGCCAAAACACACACTCCAAGCTGCTTCCCCCACCCCCCAACCCCCTCAAGCAGTCTCCCACTGAAGCCTAGGTCCCTGCCACCCCCTCCAAACCAGATGTTGGGGGAAAGCCTCCCCGGGAAGCCCCAGCTTCACCGGGCTACTGCACTCACAGCCAGCCGCCGCAGAGCCCCCCCCACTCCCCGCCGCCGCCCCCACCTCTCCCATTAAAGGGGCGCGGGGCGGGGCTAGAGCTTAAGGTGAAAACTCTGGGCAGGTGCTGGCTGGGGCCTAAGACCTCCATCTGGGGTGATGGTGGAGGCAGTGGCCGTCCCCTCCTCAGCTGCTCAAGGACAGGCGCAACGCTTCAGGAGGGTTAGGCGGGGGCGGGGGTGGTAATTTAAGGAACGGGGAAGAAGCACGCAGAGCTCTGTCCAGGCCCCGCCGGTGGCCCTTGGGGCAGGCGGGGGCCCCGACCGGCGGGTGGAGAGGGCCATGCGGAGATCCTACCTGTCCCGCGGGTCGATCCAGCTGGTGGTGCGGCTCGTGTGGTCTATGTAGTACACCTTGCCGTCGAAGTCGCGCGCCTCCTCCCAGCCCTCCGGCAGGGGCAGCTCCGGTCGGGGCATCTTCCCGAGCGCGGCCCGCGCTCCCCCATGCAGCTCCCGGCCGCCGAGGAGAGCCTTGGTTCAGCGGC